TACAAAAAATTACAAATTAGCTATTAGGAAAAAAATTAAATAATAGAATTTAATAGTAATTAAATAAAATAAATGGGTGTTTACCAATAAAAAAATTAATAGGGGATTTTTACTGCTTATATATAGCCTATATATTGTTCTATAATAGCATCCCATTCAAATTGAATATAAATGTATTTTCTCTTTTCAATATATCTCACTAATTATCTTAAATTTTATTTATTTGCATGAGTAAAAATCTCTTACCTTCAATTTATTTCTAACAACTGGTATCAGAACATGATTCAAAGACGGGTGTTAGCGAAGTAGTGAATTTACGTTCATGAAAAAGAAGAATTTTGAATTGACGGCTTCAGATGTTGGCGCAAATATGGCGCAAACAATAGTTCCCATATTTTTTGGTAGAAATTATGATGTATGGAAGATAAAAACGCGAATGTTGCTACAATCACAAGGGTTGTGGGATATAGGTGAGAATGGTTATTTTCGCTTTGTTGTTGGACATCAACTAACACCTGCAAAACCAAAGAAGTTAGAGGAAGATCATATAAAGGATGTCAGAGCCTTGTTTCTCACACAATAAGGTGTTGTAGAGAGTTTGTTCTCTCAGATAATTGGTGCAAGTAGATCGAAAGAGGCGTGGGATATATTGCAAGAAGAGTTTTAGGGATCTGCAAATGTGATAGCTGTAAAGTTTCAGACCTTGTGCAGACAATTTCAAAATTTACAAATGAATGAATCCGAAAAAAATAAAGGAGTATTTCTCAAAGATGATCGAGATTGTGAACCAGATGCGGAATTTGGTGAAGAAATTGCATATCAAAAGGTAGTAGAAAACATTTTAATTAACTTATCTGAAAAATATAAATATATTGTTGCAACATTTAAAGAGTCAAAAGATTTGTCTACTCTTACAATTCAATAATTAATGAGTACGTTGGAATCACACGAGGTAAAAAAATTATAGAATGAGAGCAACTCTATTGAAATTGCTTTTTGTACAAGTTTTAGAACTCAAAATTCTTTGACGAATCAAAGAAATTCGCAGAGAAAAAGTGAACAGGATATGGAGACGCAACAAAATTAAATTGAGAGAGAAGCAGGTTCGAGTCCAAATATATGGTGTGATATATTACAAAATCAAATCACAGTACGTTGAGATGTTGGAAGAAGATACGTTGCAACAAATGCAAGCAAAGCGGCCATATTGTAAAATACTGCAAAAGTCAAATTCGTGATTTTGCAAATTTCGTAGAAGATATAGAGAATACAAAAAACATTTTTTTTTTACATACCATATTGTAACAGAAGGAAATAATAATATTTGGTATCTAGATAGTGGTTGCAAAAATTACATGATAAGTAACCAAAAATTGTTCAAAAATCTAGATTCGTCGTATGAGACCCAAGTACGCATGGGAAATGGTGATTTAGTTCAAGCGAAAGGCAAGGGTAGTATTGTTATGCAAATTAAGATGGGGTTTAAATTTATTCAAGATGTGCTATTAGTCCCAGATCTGAAGCAAAATCTGCTGAGTATCGGACAACTTTTTTATAAAATGGTTATGCAGTTCATTTTGAAGATGGAGGTTGCAAATTTTTTTATCGAAGAAAAGCAATCATTTACTAGCCAAAATTAACATGGAAAAGTCCATAAATTTTCTTTTACAAATAAACTATGCTTCAAAAGTGACATTACGAACAGAGAAAGCAGTTCAAGTGAAGGGGGAGGCATCCAATTCAATAGAATTTGACAAGTTGCAGGAAGAGGTCAAAATAGGTGTATAAAGAACCGTTGTAGAAGAATAGGCAAAAGTTTTCAGTAAAGACACTTCACTAATGAACAAAGAAGCAACAAGAGTGGAGTCTAATGTTATTAGTGTAAGAAGTACGGACATGTTAAAGCAAATTGCTGGTATAAAGATAAACAAGTTAATTCTGCGAAGATAACTAATAAAAAAAATATGTTGTTTATGGTTTATCCTAATAGTGATGAAGTTACAGATATTGGCTGCTCCAATCGTATGTCAAACTCGAAGACACATTTAAAGAAGTTGATGAGATATAAAAAATTACAATTAAATTTCGAAATAATAAAGATATTTAAGTTGAAGGAAAAGGTTGAACAAGTAACAGATATCTTCACAAACTTATTGACCAAAGAAAAGTTTATATACAATCGGAATCTAATCAATGTGTTAAAGAAAATATATTAAAGGGAAAGATTGTTAGCATTAATTTAATTAAATTATTAATTACAAAAAATCATAAATTTGCAATATAAAAAAATTAAGTAACATAATTTAATAGTAATTAAATAAAATAAATGGGTGGTTACCAATAGAGAAATTAATAGGGGATTTTTTATGCCTATATATAAGCTATGTATTGTTCCGTAATAGTATCTCATTTAAATTGAATATAATATATGTTCTTTTTTCAATATATATCTCTAGTTATCTTAAATTTTATACTTTTGAATCAGTAAAAAATTTTTATCTTCAATTTCTTTCCAACAAGATCTAGGTCAGAAGCATCTTCTTGTTGTAAAAAGGGTCCTGAGATATGTTAAAGGAACTTTTGATTACGAAATCATCAATATGCAAGCAAATCATGAAATTCTTAAAGGTTTTTCAGACAATAATTGGGCAGGATTCCCTGACGATTTCATAAGCACAAGTGGATATGTTTTTACTATTGATTCAAATGTATTTTTATGAATGTTTATGAAACAAGAGGTAGTTGCACAATCAACAATAGAAGCAAAATACATAACTACTACTGTTGCAACTATTTAAGCTTTATGCTTAAGGAAGGTCATGGAAGATTTACTACAACCTCAAGCCAAACCAAACATAATCAAGGTTGATAATCAATCGGCTTTATGTATGACAAAGAATCCTATCAAACATGGCCGAATATTTAAGTAAAATATATGTTATAAGACAAGCGGAAAAAGAAGGCAATATTAGTTGGATTCACTACTATTTAAATGATCAACTTGCTAACATATTATCTAAGTCATTGAGAAAAGGGAGATTTGAGGAATTAAAAGCTAAATTGGGCTTACCTAAGAAAACTCTTAAGGCATAATTTTAATGTATTGAAACCTCTTTTAGTACACATTTATGTTGAGGTGCATGTATATTTAGATAAGTACATGAATTTTAAGATGCACATATATTTGGATAAGTAAATGAATTTTAAAGTTCAAGAAAATGCATTTATGCATGGTTTACCATATGCACGTATTTTTTTGCTATATAAACCCCTTTTATATTTTGAAATAGAACTTGATAAAGAAAAGTTAAGTTTACGTCAATACTTTTTCCTTCCTAAATATATATATATATCAATGATGGGTGTCAAATTAACTAAAAATAATTTTCCTATTCAAATAAGAAAATAATATTATAGTAAAAGTGAATAACGTCAAATTCATAGGGAATTGAATGCTAACATTCTTTTACGGCCAGCAAATAAATAAAAGTAAATCAAGCCCTTTTATTAAAACTTCAATTAAATACTTGACTGAGAAATTATTTTTAGGATAAACAATGAAAAATACAGAAAAATAGAGAGAAAATATGATCTTCTTCTTTTCAATCAGCGCCACCTGCGACTCTCTTTCTCTTCTTCTATTTGAAGAGTGAGGTTGTCTGCAAGTAGGGTTTTTCTTACCTTGATTTCGACCTCATTTCTATTTTTGAAAGTGTCCTTTTTAATTGGTTTCTTGTTTTCTCTTATTTCTTTTCGTTTTGGCATAATCTGAAAATTTTGTATATGATGCCACACCTAGGGTGCAAACCTTGCCCAAAGCTTGCCTGTGCACAATCTAACGTCAGCTACTGATTCTGGGTATAAGGTTTGCCCAAGGCTTAACAATGGACAAACTATCTGGTACAGAAATTAGCCCTGCTATACTGTTTTTCGGATATTGAATCCTATCTTCCCACCTACATCAAAATTTAACAAAATCCATTAACTTAGGCAGTAAGTGATCCAAATATGCATTCAATCTAAGCAATAAAAGTGACATTTATGCATAGCAATCAACGCTCAAAATGAAATTCTCAAACAAGCTAAGAGTTTTAACGAACTCTGATTTAATTAGCTAACCATCATAAGGAAAGTAAAGTGAAATCTAAAGTAGATCTAAACTACACTATTGTTTCGTTGGACAGAATACTGGTTGTAAGAAGTCTAGTAATATGCTATAATACACATTGTCTCCCCACATCCTCTTCCTCCTCTTCCATCTAAGTCAAATTTGATCGAATTTAATTTAAAATCCAATGGGATCAAAAATGGATTGGATTGGTGAATCCACTCCCAATTCGGGATAGGTTCAAATTTTCTATTTACAATATTGGATTGGTATAAATTTTGCAAAGGTCTCCATGAGGGCAGCTTATTGCCTTTCCTACGTAGTATAGTGTAATATTTTAATTTTTATGATAAATTAACGAATTATTTTGAATAAGAAAAAAGAGTTATAACTTCATTCATTTATTACATAACAACATTATATTTTTATATGAAGATATAATGCAGATTTAAACAAATTCAATTGAAACTAATCGTACTTGGCACCAGAAAGCAGAAGGCAATGGTCCACTGCACGGCATTAAGAGTGGTACCTGGGGTCAAGACTCGAGAATGACACGCCGACGTCAAGTGTAGAACCTAAATGCGTTACTTTTTGGATCACTCCAAAATACATTGATATCTCGAATGGACCTAAATAATTTTATCATTTTATATTTATAAATTTAAATAATATTCAAAAATAAAGAGTTAGGAAATTATATATATATATATATATATATATATATACATATGAATATCAGTAAGGTTAAATAAAAACTAAAGAAAACAAACTAGAATAACATGCTAGAAAAATAAACAAAAAAGAGTGATTACTCCAACCCCCGTAGCAAATAATTTTGACTGTCTGAATACATTCTTTTAATTCCAGTAATGACTAAATGCATAATTCATTCACTGCTAACCAATCATCTACATTTAATCACCTATTCAGGTATAACCTCTGTCAGACTTAATCTGCGCAGTTCATATCAAAGACTTCCTAAATTTAGTTGCTACTCAATCTAATATTACAATATTTCTTTCCTGAGATTATACATATCCAATAATGCAAAGGATAATAATGGAAAAACTCAAATACTCAAGTTCTAAACTCAATGAATCAAGGAAAAAAAAAAAAGAAACAGCAGCATACCCATTGCCCAATTTCTTTTTTGTTTTTTTTTTGTGTCCAAACTCTTGTTTACAATTTTCTTTCCCCTTTCCATCTCTTGTATGACATCGAAGGAAAAATCTGTATATCAACTAACAACCCTGAATGAAACTAAGAAACATAAATATTTGGGAGGCTAGAATGAACATATGAATTCTAGATATATGACCATCTCAGTTTATTCTAGTGCAGCATCTAAATCAACAGATCCCTGTCCTTCACTGTCCCACAAGCTACCAAAATTGGGAAATCATTTTGATATAAGTGCATTTGCATCGACAACACTCAGTCAGAGAACTCGTCTTCGGCTCCACTAAATTGATCCATGTCTTCGTCTCGTGCAACCTTCCGTGCTGTTCCCAGGCCATCTTCAGCATCTAACCTTCCAATTCTCGAACTTGAAGGACCAACTTTTGCATTTGAGTAGACCTGAAAGCATTTCTAAAGTCAGACGCATACAAAGACTTAGTTCGTTACTCTTGTATCCACACATCTATAAGTTATAAATGGCTTTATGGTAATACCGCGGAATCTTTAAGCTCTCTTACAGCAACAGTTGACCTCCGTCTTACAGTCACTCTTGAAGGTGCAGGAAAATGTTCTATATCATCACCAGACCTCCCCTCTCTGGCCCTCTTTTTTCTTAGATTAAGCTTTGTGGGAAGAGGCTGCAAACAGGAGAATGATGTATAAAGCCAAAAAGTAATCAGCAGAAAATTTCAATAACAAATATATGTAGAAATAGAAGTAAAATCTGCTCAAATGTGTTACCACATAGCGGGCTTCTCCATCATCAAATGATACAAGGTATGTCGTGGGATCATCTGCATCATCACCCCTTACCTGTTGAGTTGCCAAAAGAAATTGTCAGCAATCAATTAAGTGTCACCCCATCCACCATCAACAAAGATCAAAAAACATACATCCCAATGGTATTCACGAAGCCAAGAATACGAAATGTCCTCATTTTCATCATAGATGTCCTTTGATAGCTGTCACCATAATATCAATTCAGACAAATTAAAATACACCCATAAGAAAAAGGAAAAAAAATGGCAATGTGGCCACCTTTAAAGCTCTCTTGCTGAAACATAATATTCGGAAATTAGGAAAGTGATTATCTACCTCATCTACAGAAGGAACCATGTAAGCCAAAAACTTCTCTGGATTATATGGATCAGATCCTGTTGCCACATAACTTTTCATAATGGCCTGCAACAAGACATTAACAATCTGCTGAACAAATGGTTTTTTTTTTTTTCAAATTTCATAATGGCCTGGAACAAGAAATTAACAATCTGCTGAAGAAATTTTTTTTTTAAAATTCGCTGGCTCAAAGACACTGCTTTCCTAACCTCATTAGAAGCGAAGGTAACCCAAGCTACCATGCTTGAGCTGCTCCACAAATGAATCATTCTTTTCTTGTCAAAAAACCAAAACAGGAAACAGAATTTTCTGTACTACAGACAAATTAAAATAGAATTTTCTGACTGATAATTCAATTGATTTCTCAGATAATCCATTGGGAGAAATCTTTGTAGCAAAAACCACTGACCAGAATACATTATGACAAAACCTTCAGTGAAAATCATTTTGTGGGTACTTTTCCTGTTAAAGTTCATAACCTTATGCCTATCCTATAAAAGGGTAAAGTAGGCTATGCCTAGACAAACTAGTAAAGATTCTTTTGCATAAATTATAAACAAACAAGCCATCAGCATTAATTCTATGACTAAATGTGCCTACAGCACTGAGATTTTGCTTCACTATATATTTCTCTTACATGTGTTTCATGGGCATCACGAACAGATTGGTCCAACTTGCCATAGATTTCTGAATCAGCTGTAGGAGCACTATCAAATGAGGCTACAACAAATTGCTCATCATACCTGCAAAACCACATTAAACAGCCATCAGGAGTTAATATAGCTACAAGGTTGTTGCAATCATCAGCAACTGAACTTTAACAGAGAAGAATACAGACTGATGTAGGATAAGTTGGGTTTGAAACTAACTTATCAAAGATATGTATAACAAGAGGAAATTTAAGACAGACATTCCACAACAGGAATAGAACAGAAGAAAGAATGGATTGAGGTGACGCAATACCAGGGAAAGGAAAACAAAAAGCACAGGCAGGCAAGAAAAAACTAAGTAAACAAAAAGGGGGAATCGAGCATACTAGGGTAACATCACTGAAAGTTATCAATCCAACATAGCCTACTCTCTTTCATTCTACTCACAACTAAACAAAGGAAACAAAAAAATACGGAAAATATTCAAAGTTTCCAAAATTTGAAACAAAACCGAATCAGCTAAGTCATATAATCAAGTCTCTTCAATAAAATTTGTAGATTAACCAAGAATTTCTTATGCTTAATCTGAGGTGGTTCTTTATCATTCTCCTCTGCTTGAAAGAAGTTGAAACCCGCAAGCTAAAAATAGCTATGGTTCAAGTTATGCAGCAAGGATTCGTCAATCCAAACAGAAGCATACCAGGGAAAACTTTTTCTATTCAAAAAAAATTTAGTGAAAAGGCCATGGAAAGTGTTAATAAAATTTGCATACAAATATGGTTACAATCTCACTTTTAGCAGCAGCATTTAATTGGGCTCGTCAGTGCCTGGAATAATATTAGAAAGCAAGCAACAGCTCAAAGATGCCTTAATAAAGTGATAATTCCCCTTGTAAGCACGACCAGGTACAACAAGACTATGCACACTGGGTTAATGAGGCAAGAATCCATAGATTTGGGCAATCTGTGAACAATCACAAAATCAACTTCTTTTATAGAAAAGAATAAGAAAAGCAGAGCTGAGAAGTACAACCTAGAGGAGCTTATCCTACAGAAAAGATAAAACATACAACCCCCCAACCCCACCCAACACAAGAAAAAACAAAAGGAAAAGGAAAGTCAAAACAAGAGCGCCAATAGCAACTCAATCCTTTTGTGGTGGACAACGAGGAAGTCCCCTGATGAAATGTACACTTAGTCAAAGAAAAGTTAAGGACACAATACTACCCGAAATATCATTAATAAGTACACCTATTGACAATTCTTACAATACTTTCCAACCAAAGCACCCTAAGTGCAGCAAAAATAGCCTCTATCCAAAGAGTGGAATCTCCAAGTTTAGGACAAAAGCAGCCTAACCTTCCAAATCACCTTTACAATGCAGAAACAAGTGACCATATACCCTAAGCACATGTAGAAGGCATGAGAGGAGAGAACATTACAGGTATGCACACTTGAAGCCAACTACTGGAATCAGTTTCGTCAAGGACCACAAACTCAAAAGACTCTCACCTCATTAGAAACTTTCACTTTCTAAAAAGAGGATTGAAGAATAACACTGTTATTATAAACTCATTGAGCCTTACAAACTCATCCAAATTTCTAAAAAGGTTGAAATTCCAAGAAATATGATTATCATAAGAGGAGAAAAGGGCCTATGGGAGAATCATGTTCAGTGGATAATCTGCAAAGGCAGGGAAAGAGATGCAAGTGGTGCATCACCCAATCACATATCCTCCCAAAACAAGATGAATTGATTCCCATTATAACCCAGACAAGAAGCCAAAAGAAGTCATATATGCGAGTGATTGTTTTCCTTGGGCTTTCGTGGGAGATGGAAGAACACATTTGGTCTCCCAACCATTCTGATGTAACTCGAACTTGATTTTCACCAACTTTAAAAGGAGCATCACTTGAAGGATAAAAGGAGCTATGTACAGGATAAAACGCAGATAAATTTGCTTGATAAATCCAAGCTAGCTGAATTATGCAGAATCTACAACGGTTTCACTAAAATTTACCATGAAGATAAAAGTACTAAGAATTAACCAAGAAGAAAATTACTTTTTGAAGAATAAACTAGAATTTATTAAAATTGAGTTTCTACTTAACGACCCATGAGGCTTACATATTTATAGTTTTTTTAATCTAATCCCAAAAGAACGGTGATAGCAAAAGATAAAATCTAATGCTAGACTTACTACATAATTCTTAACAAAATAAGGAAAAAAATTGTTAAGTAATCTAGAATATAAATGGCAGCTCAGTAGGAATATAATTAAAATAATATTAAACAACTAACTTCTTTAGGAATATAACTCTAAGTTAAATATTAGCAGACTAAATAGTAATAGTATTTATATATTCTTCTCTGCATCGAAGTAATAGACTCATGGGAGTAGGAAAGAATTAATATACTTGTACGTTGAGGTGGGCAAAGGAATAGGATCATAAAGAGTAGCAGCCTCAACCTCAAGGGATTCTTTAGTTTTATTTGTAGTAGAAACTCGCGAGCAATTAAACAACTGGCAGACTGCTTTCATTATCTACGTCATCGTCATTAGCAGATCATCATTTAAGTCATCCTCATTAACAGAGTATCCAATAGGATCAACAATTAGGGTGAATCATTAGACTTGTGTTCTCCAACCAAGGCACAGTGAGACATCAAGAAGTAATGTCAACTCTGTCAAGGAAACAACATCATTTAGTGCAGGAACCACTTGACCCACTATGAAGACCATTTGGGCAAGGTGTGAAAGAATGTGATGTTTGACAGACAACAGGTTTTGACATGTGATGAGGAAGAAACTTAGGAATGAATAAACTCCCAAAAGGAAAAAGCTTGATGAACAAAAGGGCATTAGAAATAAGTTTCTATTTCAAGAGTATTTTGACAAACTTTATTTAAAAAAAAAAAAGCCTTCTGATAAACTTTTCCGAAAGAATTAAGAGTAATATATGACTTCCCCTTGATTTCTTTAACCCATTGATCAACCTACTAATAGTAGTTCTTCAGGTTGATACCTAAGCAGCAGTTCCTCAAATTGAGCCAAGTAATCAGTCACGCTATTAGTAAATTGTCTCCACCACAACAAATTCTCAAACAATTACTCTTATAGTAGGTGGCAAGTTATTTTTCTTTCAATATTTGTCTCTTAATCCCCCTTTCCCCCGGGGAACAAAATTGGTTAGCAGACAGACCCACTAAATGTTCTAAGGTTTTAGTAGATATATCGCTAATACTTCTTAATAGAACCTACCAATTTCATTTCGGTTTCACTGATATGTTATACCAATAAAAATAATCTCCTAGAGCATCTATTCAATCTAAGAAAATAGCAAGGTCAAGTTTATAAGCATAGGACATTAACGTTAACCCTCTTAGTAATGTCTGGTTCATTCTCATAAGCCCGAATAGCAGGATGAGATAAATGCTTGATACTCCTATCAAGAACGCTACCATAATAGACTACTGAGATTATGAAGGATGAGTTAGGATTGATTTGCCTCATAATCTTATTGGAGCTAGTACAACCAATCCCTCGACACCATACTTTGGACCATAGAAACTACAAGTCAATATACTTGTAGGTCCTTTTTTTCCTAATCACCTGACCAATCTTCTGACATCAAACCATCATATTGTTTCCAAAGACTTTAAGAAAGCTCCAGTCAAAAAAGCAACCCTAAAACTTGCCAAGATCTTTTAACTAAGGGACTTCTCTCTGAAACTCTCTCTCTAAAACTCTCTCTCCCACTCGACTTCCCCTCCTTCTTCCCCTTTACCTAAGGGCAACCTTCCCTAAATCTACAACAAAAGAGCCAGAAAACACTTGGGTCGGCCTGTGGGGCCGACCTTCTTCTTTTCATGGGCATGTCAAACTCGGGTATCAGAAAATTCGTTCTTATCGAGTGAAAATCGTTTGACATGGTTTGTAAGGGAAAAAATCTTGATGGATTACGAATCAACGAGAACGGAAGAGGAAATCGAATCTCCGTCGCCCTTAATAAAAAAGAAGTGAAATGGCTTGTGGAGGCACTCAGCAACTTTTACTGGCTTAAAAGAGGAGCCACTTGGGGGAAAAAATTTATAGGTGATACTAGAAAGCTGTTCATCGCTCTTTGTTGGAACATATGAGGTAGAATACTCATATTATCTGAAGAAAAATGGAAGATTGGTCAAACATAACTTTATTCCTGAAGGCTACAAGGCGATGGTTGGTGGCGTATGATGAAATTGATATTCGAACTTGTTGAGATCCCAATGACTAATCTCTTCAAAATAAAAAACCCAAAGCTGTGTACTCTAACACTTTAGAGCAGACCATAAACGGCCCCTTTCCCTTGTGCTCAATGTTGGTACATTGTCCTCAATGCAAACATGGATTCAATATCCCAGTTCAAGTCGATAGAGGCAAACCTTTCGCCGAGATTCTATCGTCAAACAATGGCAACTCAGTGCGGGGAATGAAGAAGCAGCCTGACCCAATTCCCGGTTTTTCAAATTTTGAAATTCAAATGCCCCTACTCTGTCAGTCTCAACCCGGCAAACCAAAATTCAGCTCGAGCCCAAAATCAACGGAAAAGCTCATAAAAACCACATAAACATGAGAGGAAAAAGGAAAATGGGTGGAGCACGTGGGATCTGAGTAAAAAGGCCTGAAAATTTATAAGTGCCAAGCAAAAGTCCCAAAAAGTCACTTCAATGGAAGCCCAAATCAAAACACAGCGCACTTAAAAAGCCAAGAAAGCTTGATTTGGGCATCTCTTCAAATAAAAATCCCACTGACCTCTCAAACCCTTGAAAACATTTCGAGGAAGATATGGACATAATTTGCAGTGGAAATGGGTCAATCAACGATTCTCACTTATCCACCCCTTCATTCGAAGTTTGTATCCTTGAAGAAAATTTCTTGCCTCCAATTGCGAAACATGTATTGGAAATAATCCTTGCTCCCATTTTCAGAAGAAACACCAAACAACATTAAATCTATCCCTACATCACTCAACGTAGATGAAGCGCAGCTCTATTCTTCATGGGTGTTACAGAATATTGGCAACATCAGTAAACTCCTTGTTATCTCCTTCGAAGGGCTGGAATCTCAATCGATGACCCTGTTT